GCATGTATTTATGCGAGTTGGAGAAGCCGCCCTCCCACCTCTGATTCCATTCTTCATCGCAGCTTTTGGGAACAGCTGAGAAGTGCTTTCCCTCAGGTCCTGAGCAAGAACCAGAGCCCGGGTCTTCCCACCACCCTCCAAACCAGGGGAATGCTCTGAGCCCTGTGCTTCCCGCTTCTCTTACGTCTTTGTGCCACGCAATTCAACTTTCAGCAGAAGAGGGGAAAGTACTGCCTGTGCTATAGCCAGAGGGTTAGGACATTTACCTAACTTTCAATTCGGAGAGATCATGGCCATGGCAGTTGCAATTTGTGCCAAGCTTAAAGCTGTTAGTGTGGCTCAAGCTCCCGTGGGGACTTTAGCAGAGTTTAGGAGCCACCTTACTGCTGTTCCAGACCACAGGAGAGGTTTGGTGGGAGCTGGGTGCTCTAGCTGGGTTACTTCTGGATAGGCTTAGAAGCTCGCATTTCATGAATCAAGGGAACGTCTCGGTCCAAAATGAGAGCAGCAAGTGAGTTGAGTTTCCTGGCCGCTGGAGTCCGGGCCGTTCTCATTTGTTTCCTTGGAACGTGCTTGCTTACACTCTTCCCAGGCACCGCGGATGTGCCTCGGGGCCAGCTTTGTGCTAGCCCATAGCACTGTGCCTTGAAGGCTCAGGTGCTCTCCTGAGCTGCCCATTATTTCACCCCAGTTTTAAATCCAACCTCTTATTGATGCAGTATTTTTGGCATCTCTTGTTCATAGTAGTGACCCATGCTTGCATTTCTTGGGGCTGGGCTCCATCATCCCTTCTGTCTGAACCTTGTTTTTTTCCAACTCTGCATATTGAACTGAGGTGTAGGTACAAACTACCTGCTAGGAACCTTTGTTTTAAGAGAAAGTTGGCAAGTTACTTGAGTGGGTGAAACTGGGGGGGGGCTCGCAAGGGGGAAGTGAGACTTCAGACAGTTGCCTAATTTTTTTTCCCAATTTGTATAAGAGAGGATTTTTTTTTAATTGGACCAACTGCACGATTGCAATAAAGTTAGACAACCTTTTGAATGCAGTGCACTCTTCCTTGAGTCCAACATCACTCTAACATTACTCATTTGTATTGGTGAATAAGGCAACTTTTAAGGGTAATGTTGAAGGTATTAAGGAAATGCATACCATTAATCTGCAAGGCAAGGTAAACGAATAGAAAATTGTACCCAGGAGGTTCTCTTCATGAAATTTTCAGCTGCACTGTGGACCATGTGGTGATAAATGTCTTGTGGACATTAATGATCCGATTTTGGTTCTGTATACATTTTGCATGTTTCCTGTGTCCGTTAAAGCTTTGCATTGGGTTTTGTATCCAGAACTAATCAAGGTCATGCATACTTTCCATGGAACTGGTGGCCATGCTCTCACAGGTGCTGCAGATGTCTCTGCCTCACCTTGGTGCCTGGTTGGTTGGTCTGCTCCCAGTTCGCCAACTCCTTCGTTAGGACTGCTGCCATTCTCTAAATTACAGCCCCAGGTGGTTTCTTCCAGGTCTTCATATTTTGTCCTTGGGCTGTTCCCTTCTTTTCAGCTTTCATGGTGAAGGCTCCCTTGACTTACTGAGGGCCAAATTCAACACCCCTTACACAGACATACAGCCAGAATAATTCCACTAAATTCAGGGAAATGTTTGTGGTTTTATGAGTGAAGTAATTGAGAACAGAGTTTGGCCTTGACTGTGTCTCCAGTTCTTGATGGTCCTTTGCCAGCTATGATCCTCTGATCCATGTCACATCGTAAACAAGCAGCTAAACTGTTATTGATGGCTTGTAAATTAGATTTGTCCTTTTTACAAATTCTTTTTTTTTCTGAAATACTGCCAGAGGATAATGTTTGGCAGTGTTTGTTCTCTCTGTCTATTAAGCTCCCTCATGCAACCTGGAGGTTGTAAAAGGTTTTCTTTGCTGCTAAATTTCCCCTCCAGCCATAACACAGGAACCGTAGCCAAATGCCAGCAGACTGTCTCCATCATCCTCAACATTTGGGAAATTGTATACGTTGTGTAGCAGCTAGCAAGGCGTCAGTTATTACCTCCTGATGAGGAGCAAAGTTTTCAGTGGAAATGATGGAAGGGGTTGCCGGTTAATACAGAAACCTAGCATGGATAGAGAATGCAAGCTACGGCTTTTCATCATGTGGGCTCTAATTTATCCAAGCAGAGAACAGTCAAGTTTCTTCTAAGCTCACGGGAATCATTAATCATTGTGGATATAGTCATTCTTTACACCATAGTCACTCCCTGCTTAATGCAGACCTTTTGGGACTAGCTGTAGACTAGCCACTGAGCTCCTGGTAATGCTCTCTAGAGCAGGATTTTGCACCCACACATTCAGATCCAGGCTGCCATGGCTGGACTGCTATTATTGGAGCTGACTAACCAACACCACAAAGCTGTAAAGAGCTGTCAGCAGTTTGCAGGAGCGGGACTGACAGCTGTCTGTCACCAGTTGGGAACTTAAAGCCATGCCGTGGCATGTACACCCCTGCTTTTCTAGCCAGTAAGGGAGTTGCTGCTCTCTCGCTGCTTCCTTTGGAGTGGTTTGCATCCTGGGAGCTCACCGAGGAAGCAGTTTCTGTGTTGTTCCTTTGCCTGGCTTCTGTAGACTCCAGGTTGCAAACATCAAAGCAGCGCTCGCTGGTAAGAATTACTCCTCGTCTTCATGGGCTGTTCCACAGGTACGAATAGGAGGAGTAGCCTGAATTGCCTCATTTTTCCCATGGGAGCAAGGTGAGCTGGGATCTCACACCGTGTCCTGAATGATTATCTTGGCTGGGGGTTGGCAGAAGGGGTTTGGTCTTTCTGCCCGTTTGGGGGCCTTTTTTCCTTGTAGTTAGCATCAGTCAGTCCTTTAAAAGGGAGGAAGCGAAGGATGGTCTTGCTTAAGCTTTGTCTGGCCCTGCAGGCTAATGGGCTGCACACGGAGTGGTGCTCCTCACGTCGCCTGCATTTCCAGAAGCTTTGGAAATAAAATTTCTGAGCTAACGTGTTAATATGTGTGTTCCCTGAATGACATGTTGGCACTTTAAATGTCTCCCTGGGAATTAGTCAGAGAAGACAAGAACACAATAGTCTGAGAAAGTTAGATGTCTTATTTTAAAGTTGCTCTGCAGCAGGTCTGAGCATGAGAGTAAGCGTGCGTCTGACATGTTGCTGAAGTCGCAATCTGGTGTGATGCTGGCAAAGACAAAGCAGCGAGTTTTACTTGAAGCGTATTAACATTATACCAGGTATTATGCCAACCGTTAGCAGCCTGCTTGGGTACGAGTCATGATGGCAGCTGTCTGGAATGAAAGTGGAACGAGCACTCACTGCGCATCCCAGTGTTAATCCCCAGTGCCTCTGGTTTTGTGCTATATTCAGAAAATCTCTCCAGGGAATGGAAAACCTTCAAGGTGCCGCTATGGGCAAAATGAATTACTCTGGAAATGTGACAGCCAGGCAGTGAACCACAGTCCAGATAAAGTTAATATCCTTTTCTCCCCCTTCCTCGCTCCGAAGAAACTGCATTTAGACAAACAGCTGAGCTTCAAAATGTGTTGCAATAAGCAAATGCTTCACTGTGACAGCAAAGCAATGGACGTCCTATTGAGCTACTTGTTTCCCTCCGTGCCATTTGGATTTCATTCCTCTTACTATAACCTCAAGTGCTAATAACCCCGGTATGGTGCTAATAAACCCTGGGATGACTGTGCATCATAATGAAGGGGTCAGGGTTAGGGGATGGAAACACTGAATATTTTATATCCCCCATAAAAATGTTCACTCAAAGGAGACCTTTTCGGTGTAATATGTAAAAATTGCCTTTTGGAGTATACAGGCATATGGAAGATCACTTATCTTTTGAATAGCTAAGAGATGAGCATTATCTGTGCAAATTTAGAGAGAAGTCACGCTGTAGTTGGTGGCTCAGAAAGCTTTTAAAATGTTTTTGAGAAACCAGTTCTGGTGTGAGACCTTGTATGTTGCTTCTGAGCTCATAGTAAGCATCGCCCTGTCAGGAAGCAGGGGTGCTCACGGCAGGCAGCCTCAGAGCTCATCAGCACTAAAGATTTATTTTTGGTCTGATTCTAATGGTGTTGCTAAAAAACACCTTTTTTGTTTGTTTTTCTGTTTGTTTGTTTTTTCCAACTCAAACACTGTAGCACTTCTTGTTCATTGAGCCCTTCTAATTTCACCATTAATAACTGATTATTACAGGTCATCTTAGATTCCCATATGCATCTTTGTTTCACAGTTGCCTGTAACTACAATACCTGCCCCATTACTGCATCTCTGACATTAATTGTTCAAATCCCAAGCGTAAGGAACAGGCCCGATTCTAAAATAGTCCTTATGAGGGTCCCTTTTATTGTTTTCCTTTGAAGAAGGTGGCAAAAGATTGAATTGGCAATGGAGGCTGACTGCTGCTTGGGACATTTAATGGAGAGCTTTCACTGCCACTGCCTATGCGGTGTCCATTCAGGGAGCAAAATAGGCCTCACTTTCTATCGATCTTTAGCACTGGAATGACTTTCAAGCAATTATTAGTTATAACAACAAACTGCCCCTCATTTCAGTGGTACAAAGAACAGATTTAAGCCACTTCTGTTGCAGATATTTGGTCTCTGTTCCCTAGCAGGGCTCCATATGTTAAAACCCCTGGGAGAAGAGAGACTTGTGAGGAAGTGTAAATGACTGCTTCAGGTGACTAAACGTTGAAGCAAGGCTAGGGTAACACAAAACTGGGAGCTGTCCTCCCATTGTAGAGAGGTTTTCTGTTGTAACAAACAGTGGAACAGCCTTACAGCAGCAAAGGACAGAGGAGAGGTTTGGGCTATATGGGACGGTGGCTTTTTCTTCCTCTCCTGCTCTTCCAAGGAGGGGCTTGGGATGAATAATCATTGGCATCAAGACTAAAATTATTTTTTCTTTCCCAGCAGTATGTTTGAGAGACACGACTGAGTCTTTCTGACTAACTCCTGCTTTCTTTGCGCAGATTATCTTGCCAACCACGGCCGTTTGAGCGAATCGGAAGCCAGGCGCAAATTCTGGCAAATCCTCTCTGCGGTGGAGTATTGTCATAGCCGGAAGATAGTGCATCGTGACCTCAAGGCGGAGAATCTCCTGCTCGATAACAACATGAACATCAAAATAGCAGGTACCCAGCATGCCCTTGAGACCCAGTCTAACCTTCCTGGTACGTGCAGCAATTGCTCATCTGCTCCAGCAAACCAATTGCTGCTGCTCAAAAAGTCCACTGAAAGTTGGATGTGGCAAGTCAGAGTCGAGCAGGATGGTTAGTCGGTTTGCGTTGCAGGGTTGGCGATGAGCATTTAACTAAAAATAATTCCAAGTTTAGCTCCTTTTCTGTTACCAAAAAAACAGAAATAATTTGCCGAGTTGTCATTTTTGTGGTGTCGTGACATTTCAGTAATGCTGCCAGATGTTCAGGTTCAAGCCGAATTAATCAAATAACTTCTTTCAACATCAAAAAGGCTCAAGATGAGAACTTATTGATTTCTTTTAGAATGCTTGATTTCGTTTTAATGATAAATGTAGAGACAGCAGATGTTGTTTGCAGTGGAATCGTTTTTGCTGCTTGTCACCTCATTACCATTCCAGGAACCCTTCCATACTGATTTAGGCCTGAGACAGTAGTGTAGAGAATGGCTGGATGACACCCAGATTTGGAGAGCCATTGAACTTTTGTCATGGGTAGTAGTATGGGACCAGGGAAGGAGCCGGTTTGCAATGACGTGAACGTGCCGGTTCTGACAAGGAAGTGCAAATAGACTCTTAGATGGCAGAGCACGCCACAGAGAGAAACTCTTCTGGTATAAATCACGATCGCACCCCTTTATTGTTGGGCTTCCTACCTGGCTTTCCGGCAATGGACTGAAAGGCATTGCCATGATACCAGAGGTAAGATGAAAATGCATTTTGACTTCCAGTGTTTTCGAGAAGGGTGAAGCTGCAGCTAAGGGTTTTTACAGGTGATCCACAGCAGGTTTGAATTGGAAGGGGGGTTCCTTTTGGTTTGATATGTAAAGAGGGCGTCTTGTCGGGGAACAGAAAGGGTCAGTGGTGTTCTGTTTGTTTTATAAAAGCACTATAAAAGCCTGAAAGCTGAAGAACATGGAAGAAAAGTGGTTTTTAACCCAACTGCATTTTATTTTTTTGATTTAATCGCTTGTTTAACTTCAGTGACTGGCTAATTAGCATTTTGGGTGAAGGAGCCCCTTTATTAAAGATTCCAGCCCCTCCTCCTTTAATTCAGGCGTTGACACTCCCAGTAAGATCCTGCAGCAAAGACCAGACTTGACATCCCTGCTATTTCAAGGGTAAAAACACAGCCAAGAAAATCCCCTAAAATCTCTCAAGCCTCCTTTATCCCAAAAATGGAAAAAGGAACCAGCTCCTTCTTTTTTAATGCGTTGCACTTTAAGGAGGGAGCACTGCATAAAGAACTCTACTCAGAACAGGAGACAGAGGGAAAGATCCTTCAGAGCAATGGTTCACAGGTTTATTAGATTCAGGGCACCCCTCAGAAAATGCCAGCTCTGAGTTTTTGCTCATTTTTTGACTGTGGAAAAATAATAGAGCAATTCTTATGTTGCAGAGAACTCAGGAACCACAACAGGTCAGAACATTTTGATGCTGTGGATTCCTGCTTGAAATCTCTGGGTTTATCTTGCGCACCATGTTTGCACACTTAACGTTGTGTTGCACCCCCGGTCACCCTTGAGAGGATCTCAAGGCATGACGGGGTACCACAGCCCCTGGTTGAGTGCTCTTGACTGAGGTTTCTTATAGTATAGGCTGCTGGACCCGAGCTGGGGAATTTTCAGCAAGGCTTTTGTCATCTCACCTTCTGTATGGATCACTTGTCCAGCTCCTGGATCTTTCATTCCTTCATTGTGATCTCTGCTTGCTTTTCATTGGAACGTTCCTGGGGTTTTTTTTCCTTTGTAGATTGAAAATATGCAGAGCAGTTGGGTAACGGGCAAACGAAAAGGAAGGGAAAGCGGTGTGTTTTAATTTCAGTTAGATGGTGGTTACAGAGCCTGTTCCATGCTGGAAGGACATCAAACTAGTGGACATAGTGGGTGACATTTTTGGTACAAGAAATGGTGTGAAGAACAAATGCTGTGAACCCTGGGAGCAAAGTGACAATGAATCATCTTATCCAGTACGCCTCATGGCAAGACCCCTGGCTTCTGCAGCATTATAGTGCATCCGGCTGGAAAGTCTGCAGCAGCTGCAGATAAATTATACAAATTTAACATGATATAAAAACTAATAGCAGAGCCTTCACATTAGCCCTTGTGTCATTTGCTTTGAAATCAAGCGCTGTTTATTTTATGCTGCTCCTAAATGTTCAAGTGTCCGTATATTGCAGGGTTTTGTAGTGAGCACATATAGTTATTGAAGCGGTCCAGGGGCGAAGGAAGATTTTGCAGTAATGCTGCGGGAAAGGTGCAGTTTTGATCCGAGGCACGATATGGACTTTTGATCAACCGGAAAGTGAGGCAAGCAGTTTGGGGTTATGAGAGAGGTCTGTTAGCTGGATGTTGCAATTAATTGTCCAGCGTGAAACAGTTAACGGTAGAGAATCAGTTTGGCTCATTCCTCCATAAAAATTAATAGAGCAGCTGACAAGATTCTCCGAGAGCGGTCGGTGACGAGCCTCCAAACGGATGCTTGGTATTTTAGGCTGTTCTTTCTCTCTGCTTTGCTCCAGCATTCACCCAGCTGAATCCCTGCTAGCGGTGGTGGGAGATGGGTTGTTTCTGACACTTTGAACTGGACTTGTCATGACCATTGGGTTTACGCAGTTGGGGTCACGTTTTGGAAGGTTTTGTTTGCAGACCTAAAAGCTCAGGTTTTGTGACTGTGACTTGTGATTCCTTTTAGAGGAAAAGTTATTTTGGAGCATGCCTGTTGGCAGGTCCTGCCATTTGGAGCTGCAGAAACCTAGGCCCTGCTTCTTACCAGTGACTGAACCGGGTTATGGGAGGATCTCGGCCTGCTGTTCCTTTGATCTTCCCCCCCTCTCCCATTCAGCTATCCATCACCACCCTGCCATCTCTTTCTGTCCCTCTTCATTTTCCTTTCTTCAAGGCAGCTTTCTGTACTATCACTTGCCACGTTCGGCCAGGGATTGTTTTTCAGATTTCCTTCTCGGGGGGCCTTGACTGCCTTGAAGCTGTGCTGCATTCACAGAAGGTTTCCCTTTCATGAATGTCCCTAGCACGGCAGGGAGCCCGGTTCCCCGCTTCCCTGTGCATTCCAGCACAAACACAACAAAGGTTCACAAAAGTACTGTTTCAAAGGCGTCCCAGGAGACCTGTTAGCCAAAGAAAGGTTAGTAACACGAGCTGTTCTGTCGCAGGGAATTTCAAAGCGCACGTTCTCCAGGATTCAGAAATAAATCAAAAGCAAGGCTAAGTGGTAAAGTTTGAGCTAATTTCATTATCTCTCCACCTCTGTAGTGATATTACTGTTCTGCGCAAACATTAGTTGCTGTGCTGGCCTCTGTATAAGTAGCCATGCTGGCTACAAGCTCCGTTCTCCATGCGAATGCATAGGCTATGATTCTTGCTTGCAGCTCAGTCAGACCCGGGAGGGTCCCTTTGTCCAGCTTGGGTGATAGCTCATCAAATGAGTCACAGCTTCCAGAAACGGTGCAGTGATTGGTGCCCAAGCAGCTGTTTCACTTTCTGCAGCCATGGGTGGTAGAGTTTGTCTGATGCTTCACCTATCGCTGTCTGGTTATCTGGTAGCACAAGGGTCCTTGTCCCCGTCTTCCTTTCCTGGTAGTTCACTTGGCTTCTGATGGATGCAGCCGGCAGTGGTGTTCATGCACCAAGCTGTGGATGAGCAAAGGTAGCCAGGCTCCCAGCTCCAATTATTAGATCTGCTCCTTCATAAACATACGTTTCTTTATAAACAGTGATTAGCGAGCGTGCAGGGAAGTTCTGCAGTGTTGGTGCAAAACAGAATCCAGGTGAGATCCAAACTGAAAAGTCAGTGTCAGGCCTTCCCTCTGCCGATCGCTTCAGCCACCTGTCGAATCCGAACAGGCTTTCAGTTCTGCCGCGGAGGAGGCAGCGAAGCAGGTGCCCCCGCCGTGCATCATGCCCAGCTTCCTAATGTTGCCGGCTGGTGAGGCTGCTTCTGTCTTGAGGGCTTTTATTCTGAAGCCTTTACTTTTTTAGAAGTAGACTGCTTCTCAGTCAAGTGCAGAAATATGCATAAAATCAAAGCTTTTACTACTTCAGGAGCAGACTGGTTCTCAGTCAAGTGCAGGAATATGCATAAAATTGCCTTATGCATTTCAGCTCACTAGTGAACGAACTTGGATCCAAAGGAATTGTTCCTGAGAGCGCGTGCTGAAGGACTTGTGAGATTATCACCTTTGCTACTTAGGCAGAGCAGGGTGAGAGTTGATCCAAGGTATTTTTTTTTGTAACGGGGGGCCTATCTTTAAAGCAATTAAAGTGTAATTTTTAGGCAGAACAGAGATCCCAAGGCAATTGTAGTAGGCTGTTTTAGTAGGCTCTTATCCTCCAGAAATTGTTTTGAAAGCACATGCGTCCACCCACAAATTGTATCCTAAACACAACATCTCACGGTGACTACATACGTTTTCTGTCTGAGGAGGATGGGGCTAAAGACTATTTTGATCTGCAGACTCCTTCAGATTTTATGTTGCATTATTTTTAGCGTTAACAAGACAAATCCCGGTGGCTCTTTTCAGAAGCTGTTGGCTGAGAGAATGAGCTGTATTTTGTTTTGTTTGTTATAGTAGTTGGTTTCTGATGGATCTGCAGAGTTCAGATCGGGCTTCACCAAAGGAAATCTTTGTTTCTCAAGAAGCCTGTGAAAAATAAGCACAGCTGTGAACTAGGCGTGATACCGCCAGAAGGTTTGTGCGTGCTTCCAGCCCAGCACAGCTCGGATGTAGAGATGTTATAGGTGGCATTTGCAGGAATCACACCAGCTCGACTGCAGCCCTATTGTGTTCGAAGCAGAGCAGGTAGGAGCGGCTGCTATTTTGAAGCGGAGCGCACTGCCGGCTCGTCTTGCTGGTGGACAGTAAAATATGCATTGACGTCAGAACTGGCTGATCAGCATTCAGTTCATGAAGTGGGTCAG